AGAATTTCGACGAAATTAAGCGCCACCTATTTGACTCCTTTTATATTTTATAGACAGTTTTTGTAATTTATCCGGCTTTGTACGTATTTGAGTCATTGCCTTTATACTTCGTATATTTTGAGGTACCTCTCATCATGAATACGCTTCAAAAAAAATTTAAACTTCAAAACACCTTCGTACGGTTGCAGCTATTCTTTTTGTATGTTATATGTTAACATTAGCAGCTTAACCATTATCTCGAATATTTTCAATATTCTGGTGAAATATTTTGCATTTCATCTTAATGTTTTAGTTTTGGTATTTCGACTTACAAAGAAATTATGGATAATAGTTTTTGATGTTTAATATCACCTTGAGCATTTCACAAAATCGTGAAATTAAACGTGGCGGTAAAAATTATGGAGACAAAAGCACGAAATAGAAAAAGCTTGAATGAAATGGAAAAATATGTATTATCAATCGATAGCGGGAATAATGAAAGTTTTTGTACAACATCCGTGGGTGCTGTGATGAAATTTAAGCATTATACCCGTTTGATATAACTTGAGTGACCAATCGAACAAAAGCAGCAATCTAATTGAATAAGACCAACAAAGAACTAGTGCCAATGTAATGCGGTATCCACAAGTTTTATATTGGATGGCCTTCGCATATCATTTTTTAACAACAGATTGAGACTCAGTTTAGGGCTGAAAAGTGGCGAATCTATATGGTTGAAATGCTTGAAGAATAAAAACTTTTTTTATTGGTTAGGCCATCCTTATCAACTGAGCGGAGCTGAGGAAATATGATTAAAGAATTATATCAAATTAGAAATTGTTTTCAAAGAAACCAAAGTTTCTGCATTTTTGAGGTTCACCACTTAACCTGCATTTCATAAGAAATAATCATGAAATTATATTCATAGTTGTTTTTCGCCAAAAATATGGCATATTTGGAACTTGCTTATGTAAAGCTTAAAATTATTCCTTCTTCCATAATTTGACATGACTTTCTTCAGCCCAAAATACCATAGAACGAAGTATTTGATGCAAGTATATCACCAGAATATTTTATCTTATTATCATCCTACCTAAAGATTATTATTTCTACAACTCATTAGGTACAGTCCATCGTCTTCGTTAAGTGTGTGTATATAATCAGATATTTTTATAAGGGTACGCAGAATTTAAATATATTTTTGGAACACCCTGTTTTATTTAAAGTTTATATAACCATATTATAATATAAAGCACTTTATATTACCCACAAAGATTTTATTTCTATCGTTTTTCGCATTCCCGTCGGTTTTTTAATGTATTTCATATTATTTTCCGGTAATTTCTTGATTTGTGTTCGCAGTT